AGATGCCCAAGTTTATTGTGTGACGTCTATGATCTATTTATTTCGATCACCACTTACCGCTAAAGCTATCTATACGAAAACGGTATAAGCAAAGTCATACACCTAATAACAATGGAAATATTACATAGATAATATATAAAAATTAAAATTCGCTCTCGATCGCAGTATCAAATATAAATCTCGCTTCAATATAAAATGAAAATTATAAGGATGTTGTAATCGATAACAAGGTATTCCTCTGGCTTGTGTATATAAATTAAGGGCGAACATGTTTCTGTTAGAAAGTACAAAATATAATGTAAAATTGCCACAGGAATAAGAAATCAAAAATAATAAAAAAAGTACAGAACGAGTCGCAAGTAATAAAAATAAAAATAAAAAGGCAAAAAATGTAATATTATGAGAAATGTACATAAGAGTTATTAATACGGATAGAGAATGTGTGACGTACCGTCATACATTATATATGTTTAATTTAGTTACAAATAAATTGAAAATAAATACCTTTTATTGTATGTCGAAGTGATATGTTATCTCTTATTAGGCAATGCGATGAGATTAAATGTAATCATCCCTCTAAGATGCTCAGTGACAATGGGAAGTACAAAATATAAAGACAAGAAGATTGGAGTGGTAAATTAATAAGAAAGGGGAACATAAGAGGGAGAAAATAAAGTAGAGGGAAGAGAAAATGGGGAGAGGAGAAATGAATTTTAAGTAAAAGTGGAATAGTTTTGAGGGAGACGTATTTGTTGGCCACATTTTTTTTCTAGATGGAGATATCAAATAGATATAGAAGTTACCTCCCCTTTTTTAAATGAATTATTATATGTATATATGACTTTTAAAATACGTTTTCTCTAATTATTTTACATATAAAAGTATTAAGGTACATATATGAAAAAAAAACTAATAGTTTGAGATATCTGGCACTCATAAAACGTTGAATCTAATCGTTATCTCGTAAATGGCTTCGTTAGATGTAGTATTTCTTTTTACTAATAGTCCTGTTGAGCTAGTATTAAATAGCATCGATTGGAGATGGGTTTACATTTCGGCGAAGACAGCATCTCAAAAAACGAATTCATTATTGCAGTTAGATTTATTTTAGATTCAATTTTTTTTGCTTTTAATAACAGAACTTACAAACAAGTATTCGGTACTCCAATGGGTTCATCGTTATCGCTGATAATCGCCGACATTGTAATGCAAGATCTAGAAGAAATAGCACTTAAAAAATTGTCAGTACATTGTTTTACTTTAGATATGTTGATGATGTCATTCTTGCACTTCCATCCGATACTATCAATGACGCTTTAAATATTTTTAATTCTTAACATACGAGATTGCAGTTTACTTTAGAGATTGGTACAAGTGGCAGATTAAGTTTTCTTGATACAATGCTTATTATAGATGATCAGAGAATTATATTTGACATTTATCATAAAAAGACGGTTTCGGGAAGATTCCTTAATTTCCATTCAAATCATCCTCTTTGCCATAAAAAAGACACTATTATTAGTTTCATTGACAAAATTATCCTCTTATCACATCCATGGTTCCAACAAAAAAATCTGATAGATGCAATTCATACCTTTCAAATAATTGTTATTCTCTCTCTTTTATCTTCTCTACAATTGAACAAAGATTAAAGTTTCATATACATAATAAACATATTATACGTAATTCACAAGAGAAAGACAAACATTTTACGATTCTTTAAATCTATCCGTCAAATCTATTTCCGAAAGTTTCCTTCCTATTTCTAGTATGTTCCATTGTAAACTAGCCTTTTCTATCCCTAACACATTAAAAAGTTTTATAAAAAGAGGAAAAGATAAGCTTGATTTCCTATCCAATCAAAATGTAGTTTATAAGATCTCATGTGACGATTGTGAGGCGAGTTGGTCAGACAAAAAGAAAATTGAGTACGAGATTACACGAACATATCTCAGACATTAAGAAGAATACTGGTTCTCCCACTGTTATAACTGATCATCGTATTAATTTTGATCACAATATTAGGTGGAACGAGGTAAAAATTTTATTATACGAATCTTCGTATAATAAGAGTTTGGTGTCTGAAATGATTCACATTAGAAGACAGAAACAAGATCTTAATAAACAAAATGATACTGAATCTTTACCTGAAACTTACTCAGATCATTCAATCTCTTTCTCCTTCTTAGCTGCATTCTTTTTCTATTCATTTCTCCTTTCCTTATTTTCTCTTCCCTCTATCTTATTTTCTCTCTCTTATGTTCCCCTTCCTTTTTAGTTTACCACTCCAACCTTCTTATCTTTATATTTTGTACTTCACATTGTCTCTGAGCATCTTAGAGAGATGATTACATTCAATCTCATCGCATTACCTAATAAGAGATAATATATCACTTCGATATAACATATCACTTCGACACATAATAAAAGGTATTTATTTTCAATTTATTTGTGACTAAATTAAACATATATAATGTATGACGGCACATCACACATTCTCTATCCGCATTAATGACTCTTATGTACTCTCATGTACATTTCTCATAATATTAGATTTTTTGCCTTTTTATTTTTATTTTTATTACTTGCGACTCGTTTTGTACCTTTCTTTTTAGTACTTGCGACTCGTTCTATACTTTTTTTATTATTTTTGATTTCTTATTCCTGTGGCAATTTTACATTATATTTTGTACTTTTTAACAGAAACATGTTCGTCCTTAATCTACATACACAAGTCAGAGGAATACCTTGTTGTCGATTACAACTTCCTTATAACTTTCATTTTATATTGAAGCGAGATTTATATTTGATATTGCAATCGAGAGCGAATTTTAATTTTTATATATTATCTATGTAATATTTCCATTGTTATTTTTGTTCACATTGAAAATGATCCAATAGGGATCGAAACGTTTGTTTTGTTTTACTTGTTACCGGTCAAATTAAAGTTTATATTTTAACTTGATGACATGTTTTATTTATTAACTGTTCAAAAAATTCTTTTATTTTATGATAATTGTTTTAGGCTCGTAGTTCTTTTCTTTTTGTTTAATTTATTGAGCCTTATTACTATTATAAAATAATAACAACAACAATAACAACAACAACAACAATAATAATAATAAACAACAAGAACAACAGTAATAATGACAACAGTAATAATAACAACAATAATAATAACAACAACAATAATAATAACAATAATAATAAGAATGATAATAATAAATGCGCGATTTTTCAGATGCCTTCACTACTTTAACTCAAGCGCTAAATTGGAGATCAACAGCAGGAACTGTGGAAAACTAAATGATTGCGCAATTAGGCTACCGAGCGAGGACAATACGTGGCTGAGTTTCGACAACCATTGCAGGAATGAACGCGTCCCGTTCGTCGTTTATGCCGATCTGGAGTGTGCATTGAGAAAACAGATGGAATCCTGAATCGGCTACGTATCATCATCATATTATAATGTGTTTAGTATCGGATGCTACGTGCACTATTCATATGATAGCTCACTGTCGGGTTATTGTTTTCACGGTGATAAGGATTGTATAGCGTAGTTCGCGGAAGAACTCAGAAATTTGGTGCATAGTATATAGCCTATAATTTCGGCTAACGTACCCATGGCAGATTTCACGCGAAACGGTTGGCAAAAATATAACAACGCCACGCACTGCTACGTGTGCGACAAACCGTTTCCATCAGACGATACGCGGGTACGCGATCACTGCCACTTAACCGGGCGATACAGAGACCCCGCGCACTCAAATTGTAATCTAAATTATAGGGATTCTCATTGCATACTCGTAGTTTTCCATAACTTATCAGGCTATGACGCGCATTTCGTCATCAAGAAAATTGCCACCGCGTAGGGCGTATTGCTCTTTTACCGATAACAAAAGAAAAATATATCTCGTTTATTAAACGAGTTGATAGTACCAAAATTGATAAAAAAAATTGTGTAAAATTACGGTTTATAGATTCATTTAGATTTCTCGCTTCTAGTTTGGACAAATTGGTATCTTTTCTCAGAAATAAGTTATGGATATTGCAACACGAATTTTCCAATTTATCAGAAGAAATCTTTTGACACGAAAGTCTTTCCGTAAGACTGCATTGACTGTGTTGAAAAGTTGGAGGAGCTATATTTATCGCCTCGCAAGTCATTTTAGTTCATTGACAGACGACACGAGAACGCTTATGCGCACGCCATCAACGTATGGCAGCAATTTTCCATCCGAACACTCGGTGAATATAGCGATTTATATCTGAAAACGGATGTATTGTTGTTAGCCGATGTCTTTGAAAATTTTCGTGACAGTTACGTCGCGAATTATGGGCTTGACCCCGCGTATTATTACATCTTACCGGGCTTTACGTGGGACGTCATGTTAAAGCACACGGGTGTAAGATTTGAATTTACAGACATTGACATGGTTATCGAGCACGGTATACGCGGTAGTCTCTGAATCAGTATTGGAACAGGTTTATCAAACGCGCGAGCCAACAACAAATACATATCGTACAATCTATCGAAATCGTCATCGTACTTGATATATTATGACGTCAACAATCTGTACGGCTGGCAATGTGACCATTACCTTACGCCGATTTTCAATAGGTCGACGACGTACAAAATTTTGACTTTATGACTTTACGATTGGATTCGGCAACAGGCTATATTCTCGAGGTGGACCTGCAACATCTTCGTGACGCGCACATTAATCTACCATTCTGTCCAACGCGCAAGAAACCACCCGGCAAGCGTGATGACAAGCTCCTCGCAACATTATGCGATAAAAAGCGTTACGTCATTATCGTAACCTGCAGCAGTGTACTCATCACGGTCTCCGTATCACAAAGGTTCGTATACTGCAATTCGCACAATCTCTGGCTACGCGATTATATAGAACTAAACACAAAATTTAGAACTTTGGTCAAAAAATGAATTTGAAAAAATACAAACTTATGAATAACGCGGTATTTGGCAAAACCATGGAGAACATACACGATTGCGTCGACGTAAAATTATTAACACAATGGGAAAACAAACACGGTGCTGAGGCAATGATCACGAAACCAAATTTCCATAGCATCTTTTCAGAGAATCTGATCGCCATAGAACTACGTAAGCTCGAGGTGAAGTTTGAAAACCGATATACGTGGGTATGTGCATCCTCGACATATCCAAGACGTATTTGTACGAATTTCACCATGAGTACATGGCACCGTTATTTCGCGAAAAATGTAAAATTATACGGGGGCAAGTTAATAAGTTCTTAGAAAATCTGTCAGAGGGCACTCGTAGTGTCATGTCACATTATTTTTTGACAAGTATCATCTTTCAGCTGATTACTGTCAAATTTTGCGAAATTCATTGCGTGGTTTTATTTCTGTAGACGATTAAAGCAAACAATCTTTGTATTTTTTGCAAAATGGAAAAAAACGAGTTTCGTGCAGTGATCAAACATCTATGAAAGATTTAATGCCAAAAGAAATCAAAGTCGAGTTGGATAATGTTCATAGCACATCTACACCAGCGTTTGCGATTGTATACAATTGGATGAATGAATTTAAACGTGGTCATACATCCATATGTGATGCACCTCGTTCGGGACGTCCAATTAAGGCTACGCCAGAAATCATCGATAAAGTCCACGATATTGTTTTGACTGATCAACGAGTGAAAGTGCGCGAACTTGTTGAGGCCATAGACATATCACATGACACAGTGATTTCAATTTTGTACGAACAATTGGATATGAAAAAGCTATCGGCAAGATATAAGATGGGTGCCGTGTTTGCTCACTGTGGACCATAAACGCGACCGTGTGACGATTTCAAAATTTGGATTCAATGTTTGGAGATGTTTCAACGTAATCCAAATGAATTTTTGCGTCGATACATTACTGTAGACGAAACATGGGTCCTTTACTTCACACTCGAGACGAAGGAACAGTCAAAACAATGGTCAAACAACTTCACCGAGTGAACCAGAAGAAGGCGAAGACCGTGAAGTCGGTCGGAAAGATGATGGCCACAATTTTTTGGGATACACGCGGTATAATTCATATCAATTACTTTCCGTCGAAGCAAACGATCAATGGCGATTACTACACAGCCTTATTGGACCGTTTCAACAACATTTTAAAGAAAAAAACGTCCTCATTTGGTGAAGAAGAAAGTGCTCTTCCATTAAGACAATGCACGGGTTCACACGTGCCCAGCACCAATGGCCAAATTCAACGAATGAATTGCTTCCTCATCCAGCATATTCGCCAGATTTAGCCCTGCGACTATTTCCTGTTTTCAAATCTGAAGAAATGATTCGGAGGAAAGAGAATCACCACCAGAGAATAGCTCATCGTCGAAACAGAGACTTATTTTGAAGAGTTGGACAAATCATATTATTCGAACGGCTTGAACAAGTTGGAAAGTCCTTGGATCAAATGTATCGAGCTGAAGACTATGTTGAGAAATAAAAATGAATCGATCAAAAAAAAAATGTTTTACTATGTTTTTCTAAAAACTTATTGACTTGTCCACGTATGTTATCTCATATTAATGTTTTTAATTCCGCTACCAGTAGACATTTAAATAAATATAGCAGATGAAGTTGAATATGGATCGACGTTCTGATAGCTGTTTATAACTGTTAAATATCAATCCGATAACTGTTAAATATCAGGCACTATTCTTTTTTTTTGTAATGGTATCATGTTCTATATTTACTATAAAATCTCGCACAATCCCCCGCGATCAATCAGTCTGCTTGTTAAGTTTTCTTGTCGAGTTTGTCAATCTGTGTGAGAGTTAACCATAAAAATCGCCAACATCGGTACTTTGATGGAATATGCTGTATTTATAAACATGCAGATCCGTCTACTACTGGAAAAAGCGGCTAATCTAAGTGAGAGTGCGCTGAACCTATAAGCAGCGGTGGAACCATCGAATAATTAGATGGATTAAGAATTGAGTTGGATATCAGCGATGATAATGAGCTGATGAGAAGAATGTATTACAATAATAAGTATTACATTATTATATTACTAGGATTTATATATAAAATTTTCGCGTCTTGATTGAACATAATTATCAAATATCATTTCATTTCGTATATTTATTCAGTAATTTACTTTTACTTTATATTTTGAGAGGATGAAAAATTGATATATGGTATCAATCTTCAAATATTATTTTAAACGATATGAAAAATTCCGAGTTATTCCGCGTGGACATGCATCACTATAACTAAGCAATAAATGTTCAAATTATATTTTTCTTTTTCTAGATTTAGCACCGCTGACGTCATTACGAGGCTGAACCAGTTATTTGACGTGTTGCTGGAGAGGACACGTCGATTGGAAGAAAATGTTGACAAGATTGAAAATTGGTTGAAAAGGAGACGGGATGATGATGATAATAATGATGACGTCACTTTTGTGATGGAGCATCGACAAATTCGACAATCATAAAAAATATGCGATAATATATATATATATATATATATATATATGTATATATATATAATACAGATATATAGGGTGTCCCAAAATTAACGCAAGATTTGAATTAAATAGAAAACACAGTTTCTAGTCTTTTGATTGTTATTTTTTATTGAATTGTAAAGTACATAGGATAGGGTTATTTGTGGAATAACACATCGGGCAAATGGCCTCCACGGCTTTCCATGCACATACGCACTCTTTTGTCGAAATTTTCCATGACCACTTTGCTTAAATGTGGCTGAATTTCGTTGATGCAGCGTTGAATCTCCTCCTTTAACGCACGGATGGTTGTGGGCTTGCTGACATAGACCTGTGATTTCAAATAACCCCATAAAAAGAAATCTAATGGTGTTAAATCACACGATCTAGGGGGCCAATTCTTATCACCTGAACGAGAGAGTACACGACCTGGAAACTTCTCATGCAGTAACTGAATTGTTTCACAGGCTGTATGGGATGTGGCACCATCTTGTTGAAACCACATATTGGCGACATCAATATCATACAATTACGACCTGGAAACTTCTCATGCAGTAACTGAATTGTTTCACGGGCTGTATGGGATGTGGCACCGTCTTGTTGAAACCACATATTGGCGACATCAATATCATACAATTTCGGCAGAAAGAACTGTGATATCATGTCACGATATCGAGCACCAGTAACAGTCACTGCTTCACCAGCCTCATTTTCAAAAAAGTATGGCCCAATAATGCCTCCAGTCCAAAATCCACACCAAACAGTGACACGTTGCGGATGCATTTGTTTTTGGACGACCAGTGTGTTTCAAGTCTCCAACTGATCCAGTCTCCCTGTATTTTTCAATTAATCTCTTCACAGTTGACGAAGTTAAAACACTATTCCGACCATATTTTATATTAAATTTTCGAACTGCGGCCGCCAAACTTTCATTACTTTTGAAATATTGTTCAATAATGAACACACGTTGTTCTATCGTGTAACGCTCCATCTTTAGTAACCCTAAACTATCAGCTGTGAAATTCTTTTTTTTTCAACGTTGCCAACACTTCACTGCACAAATGGCGGCAAATTCAAATCTTGCGTTAATTTTGGGACACCCTGTATATATATATGTGTGTGTGTATATACATGTATAATATTTAAGTGGTTAGATAAATAATTGATTACATTGCCGAAAATCAAACATAAACAGTTGAAGATAAAATATGAATTTAATATATCTCGCGATATAAAATTAATGAAATTAGCTTACAACTTAAATAGAGTAACTCCTAGGCAAATACGCCGTGCTGGGATTTACGCCGCAGAAATAAAAAAAAATAGAAGGAGAGGGAGTAATTTTCTCACAACTACTTTGTTACAATGCCTTTATGTTATATTAGTATTAAGTTATGATTTCAGCTTCTTACTGTTAATATTAATGAAATTATTGAGTTGAATCAATTTGTCACTGTAATAAGTAGCGCCATCATAAATTATAATCTACGTAAAATGATTATTGTAGAGCGTGTAAAAGATTTAATGATTAATTTGTGTGTGTGCATACATGTAGTAGAAGAACATATTGTATAGCAAAATACAAATGCTTTGCTTTCGTATTCTTTATTTCGTATAATTTGCCTTGTATGTCGTACCTATTTGGGATATACAGTATTTTTAGCAGGCGGGATTTATGTCCAAAGCATATAAAGTGCGCAGATTGAATTTAATGCACTATATGCAATAAACGCATTACATGAAATATATACCTACATAACATTATTATAATACCTCATAACACTTGATATATATATAGGAAAATTGTAATTATTATTTATTACTTCATATACATATTTATTCTTATTCCTTAAACTTTATAAACGCATTTTATAAATTATTGTGTCATTTTATGTCTTATTTGTATGAATTATTTGTAAATTTTTTATGAATTTTACATACCTTCCTCCTCCCCCTACGGAACAAAAGCGCAAGAATTTCAAAATGTTTTTTAATACAGAAAATAAATATTTCAAATTTATAATATTTTTTATTTAGTAGACAGAACAAAGTTTTTACTGATATATTTCTGAAATATTTCGTTTACTTTAGACATAATAAATAATACTTAATAAATTAAGTTTTTGATAGGTGCGTATATACAGAAGTTACATAATATGAAAAATCTTAGAAAAGGCGTGAACGAACGAATACAAGAACATTTTTTAATACAAAGAATATTTTAAAATAAGATGTTTTTATTGATAAAAACATAAGTTTACAGAAGCTATAAAACAAATTACATCTCAATATTTTTCATTTATTTCAATGGTCATTCTTTGTTTACTCCAGAAGCTGTAGTAGATAAATGTCAAATTAGTTCCGATTTAAAAAAAAATTATATATTAAATTTCTACATCATATGCTCTGAAGAAAATCCTAATACTAATAAAACTCTAATATTAAAAAAAATTTTGAAGGTAATGAGAATATGTAGACAAATCCAATACGCTTTATTGAAAAGTAATTTAAAAATCCAATGCAAATGCATATTCACAAATAACATAACTCTTAATAATAAGTTCAAAATATTTTTTAATTTTTGTCAGTTTTTTCAATTATTTTTCAACTTTTTTGCAATGTTTGTCGTAAAACCACTTCATATAATTGGCCAATATTTCCGCTTCTTCTTCCGTGATTGCATTATATAAAGATGCGCGTATTCCACCCACTAATCTGTAAAAAGAATTATATTGTTACTTAATTTTTTTATTATACAGTAAAATAATAATTCAAAATACACTATCTAAAATATAAATCTAAAGTATAAAATTAATATATTAAATCTTTTTAACTTTTTGCAAAATATATTGTATTTAATGAACATATGATTTAAAACTAATAGATTAACATTTATAATATAAAAAAATAAAAAAATGTTTTATTATGTTATCTTTGTGTTTAATATATCTTTTGTGTTTAATATAAGAATGTAATGAGAATACAGCGCTATAAACAATACGCAAGTTACAATTGTTTGTAATCGAATTTAAAATAATACACAATTAAAATGATCAGTTTTAGCTTTTTAAGTAGTCCTCAGCCATGTTGCATAAAATGTATACGTGACAAAAAGTATCACATTTTCCAGACAAACTAAAAAGAATTTTAAAAGAATTTTTAATGTTTTTTAGACACCTCATCAATTTCAATGTCTTTTAGATATGTTGTAGAGGAGAGTGTCCTGAATGATCCACAAGATTTAAGTGGAGGACAGCATTGATTTAGGAGATATAATAAATTAAGTTTCTATAAAAATAAACAAACAATAAATTCAAAGCTAATTAGACTTAAGGTCGATGAAGATGCCAAAGATTAACCCTAGAAAGCCAAACTTATTTTTGGTTACCTTCCCGGCCTAACCAGGTATGTGAAAGCCTGCAACTTTGTCACACTATATATACTTATTTTTTAGCTCAAAACGTGTAAAATTTATATCTCGAAGTCAAATAAAGACAGAGAAATATGGATCAAATAAATAATATTTTATCTTCAATTAATTTATTTAAAAAATTATTTCATTTTCAATTAATTTATTGAAAAAATTCGCAAAAAAATGACTACTTTGGATAAAAAATTCTCAAATTTTTTAATTTAATGTTCAAGTAAAAATCCGTGGGATTTTTTTAGTTGACCCTTTGGACTAACAAAAAAAAATAGTACGATATGAATCACTCAAAAAAGTATAATTATTTGAACTATCGGAAATCAACACATTTTTGAAGAATCTATTTTAAGTTTACAATTAATAAATAAAATTTTATTATTTTAACAATATAAAAGAGTAATAATATAAGTATAATAATATAAATAAAGGATTATACATGTACAAATATTATTATAGTATGTACAATTAAGTTTATTAGGATTTAGTTTAGATGATGCAATACTCGTTCTAAAGCAATAAATCGGCCCCGACCGAACGATCTTCAAAGACTGACAGAAATTATAAAATTTCTACTATTTATTATATTGAAATATAATTCTTTTTAGTTCTACATTTTCGCGTACTTACTTTTATACCGAAACTTAGTAAATGTATATTTAATAAAAAATAAAAGGGTACTCAGAAAGCCGAAAATTTATAAGCTAGTCACGTGTGGGTCCCAAGTACTCTCTTTGAACTTTTGTTCTCACATCAAGAATAATGCCAAAAAAACCCTTGCAGAGTTATCATATCTATGGACAATTAAAGTTCTTTTTCAGCCTCAATTCAAATCTTCAAATTATATTATAAAAAAGTTACAGCAATGTAAAAAATCACGCATAGGGTACGTTGTATCCATGCTTCCTATGGTTAAATTCCAACCCAAAAATTAATTTCCATAATATTCAATCTTTTTTATCAAACGTTTCAGCTCTCTTTGGAGCCATCATCAGTAATGATACATCTTCGATTTGTCCTGTGTAGATATTCCAAAGAAAGTTCAATTTTTATTATAACTGAGTGAAAATTTTTCTCTACTGTTTTATCGGAAAAACACATTAATAGATTTTATTTAAAATATTGAAAATAATTTTAGATTCTTAAAATTCGCGAATATTTTGAACATAAGAAATTTAGCAATTCCGATATTAAGAAAATTCTTATCATCATCTTTAATAAATAACTCGATCATAAAAAGAATCTCTTTTTTGGTGAATTATATATGACAAAATTTATAAAAAAATAATTCTAACATAATTTTTACGAAAACTGACAAAGAGAACATAACAGTAGCTTTACAAACAGAAATAATTATATAGAAAAAATTACAGAAATATATGCTGGATGATCAAGATACGTAAACAAAATTAATAAAAAATCCAATAAATTATCAAAAGATGTACAAGATTTACTTAAAAAATGGAAAAATAGAAATTATATCACGGAATCAATGTACAAAAAATTAACAAATAATGAAGGCATTTTTCCAAGAGCATTACTTAAAGTATATAGAGTATATCGTTCAGAACTATAATTTCATCGTTTAGTCCTTTATATTTTTTGGCTTCTTTCTTATATGAAGTGATTTCAAAAAATATTGATAGGATTTTTAGCAAAATAGACAATAATTTTCCACTTGTAGAAAAACTGAGAGGCACTCGTGTTGATGCGGATTTCTTTCTTACTTCATTGGACGTTTCATTGTTTACAGATGTTCCGATTGATTTAGCAGTCAGAAATGTAGAGAAAAAATGGAATAAATTTGGGAAGGTGATTAGCATCCCGAAAAAAGAATTTATTGAAGTGGTGACTTTTCTCTTAAACACTACATTAATAATGAATTATGGTATAATTTAAATTATGATAAAATTTTATCATACCCCCCTATGAGGTCTCCTCTCTTTCCAATTATTGTAGATCTTTTTGCAAGATTTGGAAATTGAGGTACTTGAGAATTTGGGAGGTTCATTACTATTTTTTATTAGATATATGGACGATATTGTCATAGCAGCTCCTATTAATTCGATAGAACATATGGGGTTTTTGATCGCCAAACAATTAATCGACAGTAATCGATAGTGATTAATAGATTTATTAATAGTCAGTCGACTGCTTGCTATCGTCGGTGTATTATATGTACGTATGTTTCTTCGTAAATATATGTTGAGTAATAAGAACATTTGTAATAAGAACATTCGTATGATTTTCGCTATTAAACAATTAATTAAGTGATTGGTAGTGATTAATTCAATTTCATTAATAAATTTCTCATTTTCTTAAACGAGTGAATAATGGATCGAATAAATATATAGTTAGTGTTATTGCGTGATTATTTAAATTTATTAAAAGACACACTTAATTGTTTGGAAGTACACTGTTTGGAATTCTATCGAAAAGTTTCTTTGGAATTCCAGCCTTTCTGATAGAAATTTGGAATAATTAAATCATCTTGACATGGTAAATGAGAGGGGGGGAGAGGGGGAGAGGGAGAGAGGGAGGGGGAGGGGAGGGGGAGAGAGGGGGAAGAGAGAGAGAGAGAATCTAACATTCCTAATTTGAGACGATATTTCTTTTTCAAAAATATTAATGTGTGTGCGCGTACTACTGTGTGAAACCATCAAATTGATCATAACAATCGTCTCGCGTAAGCACCCACGTCTGGCGGCGAGTTGCATCGTCCCTGTCTACCACTTGTATTATATTTGACCCATGATTCGCTAACTACTTCTCTTAATAATTTAAAAATAAGCATCAGACAAAATTTTCGAAGAGGAAAAATCATCTCAGAATTAACTCGAGAATACGACATTTTAAGAACAGAAGTTTGCTTTGAATCACCCTGTATATTAAAAAGAGGGGGGGTATTTTTTGGTGATGATATTTATGTAACTTTGCGTACTACATTCGACATTGGGCTATATTCGATCACGCGGTCGTATACGATAAGGCAATAGGCAGTTATATTCGCGGATACATTCTCTTTGAATTCGAATTTTAATAATATATCCACGGTGCCACTCTTGACGGACTTGTTTTGTCGCAATCAATGGTTACTAAAATTTTTTAAAAAGGAGTTTAATTGGAATGATGATACATTTCTTTCACGAGGGATTTGATAGTGAGACGTATGGAAATGTAAGTACATATCATACAAAATAGCGGCTCTGCATTTGTCAAAGATTTAGAGAATGTCTAGATTCAGTACGGATAAAATTTAGAGTTTAGATAAAGTTCACATTGTTAATTTACAAGTGTCGAAGTAACTTTTACATGCTGTCATGATATTTTTTTATCAGTTTGTAGATCAAAAATAACGTATCGTAATTTTTCCAACTGAGTAGCTTTGAAATGCTTCGTTGTACTCGGCAATAGGGCTCATACAAATCTCACGATCGGAAACTCATACACAGATACCATCCGCTATTTAAAGCGCGCAGTATAGATAGTTTATTAATTTCGTTCAACGCAACGTGAGGTATTCGCCTACTTTGAATAATTCAAGCGTCGGCTCTGTCGCTGGATCTCCCACTATGTAATGGTTACCATTGCTCGTATCAAAATTAATTCGTGACGAACGTTAATTACCACACGTTTGTAATCCTCGCAAAAGCCCAACAATATGCTGAGCGGTACACGAAAATTAAAGTATCCATCGTCTGTCATTAGGCTTTTTGCGGCATCACAAGAGTTAAATCCAGCAATATGCAAATATGTGATTTTATTAGAAAACGTTGCATAACCTTTCATAAAATTTATTCCAACGTTTCTGCTGCGATCAATCCCCATACCGTGAGTTCATATTGAATTTTATCGAACATGAATGCCACACAAATACATCCAACATTTGGATACTAATACATTTTTTTTCTTTGAAGTCAATCTACCTTCGACGTAGAGAATGTTTTCGTACGGTAACGTGTATAAATCCTGCTGTTGTATGGGTATCTTTTTCTCGTTGCTATGTCCAAATCCGTATGTCGTGTTGACGTACGGATTGATTGTACGTATGAAATTCGAACTTGACGATGTGATGTCAGAAATGACGATGTGATGACGAAAGAATGGTTCGCTTCCAATATTCAAGATATCAACCATCTCAGATATTTCGTACAAAACCCAATAATTAAAAAAAAATTTAATGTTCGAGAGTCACGTAGTGAGTGTCTTTCTACTGAGCGCTCGAATATTTTTGATCATTGTCGTCCCTCTGGGGGGAAAATTATGCCTTCTGTTCCGCCTGATAGTTCAG